GGAGATCGTGCGTGTCGAGTGCGCGAAATGCAGGCGAGAGTGCGATTCGCCGGGGGCCCGCGCAACCCAGAGTACGCCCTATTGAAAAGATTCAATAATTTACGACCATTTCAATAATCAGTAGCCATTTCAATAAAAACATAGATTTTCTTATTGGTTTGTGTTTTTGCTTGTTATTGAAACATTTCAATAACAGTTATTGGTTTAGAAACCTATTTCAATAAAGGCTGTTTCAATAAGGACTTAAGGCTGTTTCAATAATGTCTCAGTAACAGGTTGTGAAATTCACTCAACTTTTTTCACCTCATGATGCACAGTGCAGCATGAGAGCCCTTTGTCAAGACCCTGATGCAGTGTATGAGGCCCTTTCTCAAGACCCAATTCAGAAGGAAGCCCTCTTGTTGCAAGACTTACTCTTCATCACTGGATGTAGGAACTTCACCTGAGCCATGCAAGAACTTGAGGTGGAACCCAAGTCTGAAGCGCCAAAGAACCTTCTCTGGCACCAGGTGGGCAGGTGTGCCATTCAAGCAAGAGTGGGCACACCTGGACATATGGCCAATCATTGTTTCTCCTGCATAGGTTGAAACAAATCTGGGGTTCAAATACTTGGCTTGGTCTGGCATGTGAGCCACCAGATGGAACTTGGGGACTGTACTCCATTGCAACCACCCATCTTGCATGGTGATCTTGGAGAGCCTGGAGTAGTGCAACAAAGTGCGATCTGTATGATGCTTGAACAGCTTCCAAGTGTTGGCATCCATGTGCATACCAGAGCTGTCAATGCACTGGTACATGCCATTGAGGTGAAATAAACATTGGAACCTGTGCTGGCTGTACTCATCATCATCCTTCTTGAACTCCTTGGCTATCTCCATGATCACAGGCACAAGATATCTTATGTGTTGAGCTTTGTATCCTGTGAGCTCAGGAAAATGATCATACTTGCTCTTGGGCTGGCGAAAATTTGACATGCCCAGTCTCCTTATTCGATCTGATGCAATGATCCCCTGCTCATGGTACTGCTGTAGCACCTTCTTGTACAAAGAAACAACATTCTGATCCTGTGTCCCACCCAAGCCCTCAGACTTCAAACACAAATCAAACATTGTGTTGGCCAATGCATGGCTAGCAACTCCTTCCTCTAAGTTGTGCAGGGTGTCATAGTGGAAGGAATGTCCATTGAAACCTGGGATCTTTTTGATCAGGTGTGTTGTTGGGGTTGCACCTGCATGCTTCTTGATAGTCTTTTTCCAGCCTGCTGAAACCCTGAAATCATTGTATGGCAGGGAATCTTTATCAGCATCACAGTTGAAGCACATCTTGTTGTGGGAAGCACCAGCCAGCCTGAATTCATTTTGCAAATATTCACCATCAGCACTGACAGCAAATAGACAAGCCTTGGTGTGGGAGGTCTGGAGAGGCAGCCCAGCTTTGTCTTGCCTTTGCTTGTCTGCAGATGTCCACTTCTTTCCCTCATGGTTCCTTTCTGGGAATTTTCCAAAGAAGCAATGCTCAAAGCTCCAAACAAGGACCTTCCAAACACAAGACATGGTGTCTTGCTCTGGAACTTCACTCTTTGAAATACAACTCTTTGGAATGTCGGCAAGGAGCTCCCAGCAGAAAGCAGTGACCTGAATGAAACAATGTTGATGCTGTCCCATCTTTGAAATTGCCCTATGCAAGGCCAGGGGGAGGAATTTTTCTTTGCCCTCTGCCATCACTGGGTTGTGGGTCAATTTTGGATCTGAATCCAAGTGCGCTGCCCAGAAATCTTCCATCTCTGATGCTCCTGATACATGGTCATGACCCTCCATCCAACAGAACCACTCATGTGGAAGAAATACAGCCAGCTGAGCCATGCCCAGATAGGTGGAGTCAGAACCTTTCTTCATCACAGGCGCTTCAAAGAAATAAGGCATTGGGATAGCCAATGTATCATCTTTACAATATTTGTGTGTCAATTGCCCTGCTATATGGTTTGAATTCCTGCCATAATTGCCCAAGCTGGCAATCTCTTGGATGTCATTTGCATCAGCGCCAGATTTCACAGCAGCCAAGGCCAAAGATTGAATGGCAGGACCTTTAGATAACAAAGTCATGGCCAGCTGCAAAAACATCAGCACATGCAAAAGCAGTCTTTATTGCAACCAGGTACTGACATTCCATTTGCAAATTGCTCAAGCAAAGACAAGCCTAATGGGCTGAAGCCTGGTTCTGAAGCAGGCTCTTCTGGGATCTCATGCTTTTTTCTTTTCCACTTTGTCATGTAGCCCTTTGCCAAGGCCAACTCTTGCCCTTACTCAGAGCCTGCATTGAAATCTTGAAGCTGGAAGCGCTAAGGTGTGGCATGTTGGTCCCTGCCAAGTTGGTCCCTGCCACAGTATGCATTCCATGAGGTGTTTGCAACGCTCATCTTTTCTAGGGAAGATCCATGCCTGGGCAAAAGCTCATCTAGATTGCCTGGTGGCCCTTTGCCAAGACCACTGCCCTTTTGACAAGGCTTACTTAGCTTTCTTCACCTTCTTGATCTCCAAGGCTGCATCAAAGAGATGCTGCTTGGCCTGGTCCATGGTCATCTTGCCCCCTTGCTTCAAGAGCTTCTTCAGGTCAGTGAGGGCCTTGTCCAATGGCTTCCCCTTCTCTGCACCAACTTCCCCCTTCACTGTCTGAAGGAGTTTCACCATCCTGTTCAGCCTGGTTTTGGCCTCTTCCTTGACCAGCTTACCACCCATGTCAGAGAGGAGGTCTGCCTCCACAACAGCATTGTCCTGGTCCTGTTCACTTCCTGCAGCTGACCCCCTCTCCTTGTCCATGAGGGCTGGCAAGCCCTTGCCAGTCACCTCTGCCAAAAGTCCATTCAAGCTTTTTTTTGAAGCAGAACTGCCATTCACATTCATCTTCAGGGTCTTTTCTGCAGAGGATGGTCCCCCTGTGCACCTCACATGAAAAAAGAACAATTTAACAAGGTAGAATTGCACATACCCCAAAGGACAGCTGATTGAGGCCAAGTGGTCTGCGCATTGCTTCAGCCAGTCCATAGTGCTTCAACACTGTGGCAAAGGGGACCCATTCCTCAGAGCTGGTGTGGCCTGAGCTGACAGGAGAGCCAAGTGGAGGAAAGTACTGGAGGCAAAAGAGCAATGAGTGCAACCAAGAAACCATGCACCTTACAGTAGGAAACCAGCTCCTTCATGTAGACCTCCTTCTTGCTCTTGAGGTCCCCACCCAGCTTCAGAAAGCATTGCAGCAATGCTTTCTTGTGAAGGTCAGACCCTTTCCCCTTGGCCAGGTCAGACCACAGTTGGTCTGCATTCTCATCCTTCAGTGCATTTCTGGCTGCACTGAACCTTTGCCAGAGGGCCTGTCTCTGGGGTGTGCTGAGCGAATCAAGGAATGCAACCACATTTGCATTCTTGGCCTTGGCAAAGGCCTCCATTTTCTCTTCAAGGCTCATGCCCTTTTGTTGGGGCAGCTGGTCCAAACTGGATGGCTTCTTCAAAATCTTGATCACCTTTTTTGGTGCCATGGCCTTTGCCAAGGCCCAGTCGAAGCCCTTCTCAAGGCCAAGGGTCCCTGTTTCAGGAATATGTTTTTTCCAACTTGAGCCAGAAAGCTTCAGGGCACACAGCTCAAACATTGCGAAAACAAAATCAAAACTGTGATGTGCCACATTTACCACTACAGCCTCATATGATCTCATGTGAGCTCATGTGAGGTGAGGGTGCCTCATATGAGGCATTGTATGCCTCATATGAGGTGATTTTGCCTCATGTGAGGCAATGGTGTTCTCATATGAGCTCATGTGAGCTCATGTGAGGCTGGGTGTCCTCCACTCCCATGTCCAAGTGCTTTTTTTCTTTCCACAGAGCTGTCAGGCTGGGGCCCTTTGTCAAGACCCATACTTCAGCTGTGCTAGTTTTGTTCAGCCACCCTTGTTCTTTTGTTTTTGCTTCTTGGCATGTCTCTTTGGCACTTGCCATTCAGAATCCCCCTCCTCTTCCTTCACTTCTACTGGAGCCCTTTGACAAGGCCCAGGGGGGACTGGAGCAGCCTGTACAGGGGCCTTGGGCTTGGGCTTCTGCTTGGGCTTGGCATAGTCATCACCTGCAGGGCCAAACACACACACACACACCAGGATTACAGCAAGCCATCAAATTGAAAGTAAAAGTATTGCACTGGATTTGGTTTGCAAAAGAAATTGTCACAGTCCTCCTTTTGCTTCATGGTGGCTGCCCTGGGCTCCATGGTGGCTGGCAGGGGGTGGTCCTGCAGTGGAAGCAGGTCAAATCATTAAGAACAAAGTCCTGTACATGAGAAAGAGGAAGAATAGTGAATGAGTAGCAGAGTGTGAAAAACATAGTCCTCCCTGGGCAGCAGAGTCATACTGCCATCCCCCACCATAGTACCACCAGTCATGGTACTGCTGTGCTGCTTGCTGCTGCTGGGCCCACTGTTCAGCTTGCACCCTGGCCCAGGCCTCCTGGGTGGCCCTGTAGGCAGCTGCAGCTGCCTCATGTTGCTCCTGAACTGCCTTTCTGGCTGCTTCAGCAGCAGCGTTGGCCCTCCTGGTCATGACCCTGTTGTACCTGGCATTCCCCAGGGCAGCCAGCTTCAGCATCTCTTGCTTCTGTGGGTCCTCTTCACCAGACATCCTCAAGGCCCACTTCTTTCTGGCTGCATCCTTCGCGCTCCCATTTCTCCTCTCCCATTTCCATTCCTTCTTCTCACTTTTGCTCCAGCCCCAGTCTTCCCACTCCCATTCTTCCCACTCCTCCTCACCTTCTCCCTTTTCATCTGCACCAGCGGCCTCATCTTTTGCACCAGTGGCCTCATGTTTTACACCAGTGGCCTCAGCTCTTGCTTCAGCTAACATTTGGCTGCTACTGGCATTTTCCTTCTCAGTTTTTGCCCACCAGTCATCCCAGTACTTGGTGCACTCCTTTGCATTGTCCAGCATCTTGGGCTTGGTGTTGCTGCCTGCAGGGGCAGCTGTGTCCAAATCCCCCTCCTCTATCTTGAAGTTGACTTCTTCAATGTCTGCCCACGCTGGCTTGGGCCCTTTGTCAAGACCCTTCTCATCATTGAGCTTGGGCTGGTCATCAGCGCCCCAATCTGGCTCATCCATTTGGGCCCTTTGGCAAGACCTTTGTGGAGCCCTTTTCCAAGGCCCAGGGGCAGCAAACCAGAACTGTGCTTGCCCCAAGTGATTTCAAAGCCCCTGAGGGCCTATGCTTGAAACAAGTTGAGCAAAATGGCTGCAGACATAGTGGCATACAGTGCACATTCATTGAAGTGTATTGTGCCTTTGCTGTGCAGTAGTTTCCAGACAAAAAGTGGTTGGCACAGTGCACAGCCTTTTTTCTCATTCTTGTATCATCCAGAAGCCCTGTTGCAAGGCCTTTTTCTCTGCCCTAATACCAACGCTACATTCCTAAACCACCTACTTTGCATGCCTTGTAAACAGCTTTTCCCTGGCTTGCAGGACCATGGCCTTGCATGCACCTAACTTTTTGCAGTGTGGCAGGAGAACTGCACACAGACAGCAGAGATGAAGCCACTGTTGTCTTTCATAACTTACTGCAACAACCAGCAGGGGTTATTGAAACAGCCTGTGCCAATATATATATATATATGTAAAAATAGCTAATTATGTTGTTGAACTGTTTATTGAAACAAACCAATAGGCTTATTGAAATAGATTGGAAAAGTTATTGAAACATACCAATAACTTTATTGAAACAAACCAATAATATTATTGAAACAGTAACCAATAAGGTTATTGGTTTGTTTCAATAAAAACAAGGTTTCAATAATGGCATTGAAAATCAATAACTTTATTGAATCTTTCCAATAGGGCGTACTCTGGGAACCCTCTGTGGAGATCGTGCGCGTCGAGTGCGCGAAATGCAGGCGAGAGCGCGATTCGTGAAATTACCGGGCAACCCTCTGCGGAGATCGTGCGTGTCGAGTGCGCGAAATGCAGGCAAGAGTGCGATTTGTGAAATTACCGCGCGACCCTCTGCGGAGATCGTGCGTGTCGAGAGCGCGAAACGCAGGCGAGAGTGCGATTCGAGCGGAGCAAGCTGTGGAGCTGGAAGCTGAGAACTGGCGACTTTGTAGTGCAACTTTAACGCGGAGGAGCTGGGGAGCTGGAAGCTGAGAACTGGCGACGTGGTAGTACGACTG